CATCTCCCTGCCCCCACTCTGGAGCAGAGCCATGGTGAAGAGCACCCTGATGGGAATCCCAAGGCGTGCTGGGTTCAGGGAAGCCACGCTCGCTCGCACGCTCGCTCGCTGATATCCTAACAATGCTCATTGCATTACTAAGCACTTACCGAGTATCCGGAGCATCACATCTTCTCATTAATCCTCCCTTCGCACTACAGAGGAGAAACTGTTCCTCTTTTGCAAACAAACCAGACTCAGAGAGGTTGAAACACTGGCCCCAGGTCACCCAGCATCAGAGCCAGAATTTGGCCTATGAGTATCTAGCTCCAAGGTCCTATCTGGGTCTTCATGTTGACTCCACACTCAGAAATCAGACATTTCCCACCTGCTCACCTTCATCTTTGGGGACTAAGAGTGAGCATGGTGCTGGCCAGGTCTCAGAGGCTGGCCCTAACAGCACGGAGGCTCCCCTAAGCTGGTGGGAGCAGCCGGCCCTTTTTAGGTATGTATTATACATTGGCTTCTTCAGTGGCCATGTATGTTTCTGTTTTGGGGAGAGAGACCAGAAGGCTCAGAGTCTGAGGGATGCATCACAGGCAGACCTCTGCCCCTTGCCCTGTCAGGATTTCCCTTTGTAGAAACTCTACAGGGAGTGGCTGTGGTTGAGTTCCATTGGTAGAACGCTTGCCAAGCATGCCTGAAGCTCTGGGTCAATAGCACACAATAAATGGGACACTGTGGTACACACCTGTAATCCTAACTCTTAGGAGGCAGAAACAAACAGATGAGACTTTTAAAGTCATCCTCAGCTACATGATGTGTTCAAGTCTAGCCTGGGCTACATGAGATTCCATCTCAAAAAGCCTAACAAACTTGTAACAGCAGGTGCTTCCTAGACACCCTGCCAGCTCTAAATGGCCCCAGGTGGGGCAGCTGCATGGGACACACTTATTCTTTGGAACACTTCCTTTCCAGACCTCAGTTTTCATGTCTGTAAAATGGATGAACTAGGCTGCGAAAGGCCCCTAACTGAGTCTGTAAGTGGTAGACCTTCATCCTAGCAAGAAGCCTGGCTTTGTAAACCTTGTATCTGCCACCCTCTTGCTGTGACCTCAGACCTTCCTGTGTTTGGTCCTCAATGACCCCATCTGTTGAATGGGAAGAGACACCACACACCCTTTTAAAAAGTCTCTTGTCCTTCCGGGAAGAGAGGCCCTTCCTGCTGGGTCAGAGGCACAATTGCTTTTTATTTCTGTGTTCTACCAGACACCCATGGTCTGTAAGGGTTCACGTCTCACTTATAAAGGACACAAATCCCTAGTGGACAGGTCTGGGCAGATATATGTGGGTGCCTCTGGGAAAGCACTCCCAGGATAAGTTAGCCTTCTCAGGTCCTAAAGGCTCCCTTGGGCCCCCCAAAGTCACTGGGGTCCTCCACATTCTGGCTGTGGTCACCATTAATGAATTTTGTTGTTTTGATTGTTTGGTGTGTGTGTGTGTGTGTGTGTGTGTGTGTGTGTGTGTGTGTGTGTGTGTGTGTGTTTTTTGAGAGTGGGGTTCTCTGTCTCTGTGTAGTCTTGGAACTTGATTTTAGACCAGACTGGCCTTGAACTCGGAGATTTGCCTGCCTCTGCCTCCCCAGTGCTGGGATTAAAGGTGTGTACCACTATACCCAACCCATTAATGAGTTTTGCTTATAGTTGAACCTTGAGTGGCTTTTTGCCTGTGCCATTGAGTCAGATGTCTGTAGCAGTGGCCACTTGTCACTGTGTAGAGGCACCATCAGTGCTAGCCTGTTCTGAGGATGGATGTTCAGGTTCTGTCTAATTCTAGCTTGAAGCTGTTGTGAACACCGTATGATTTCTTTGGGTGGCCATCGGCCCTCCTTTCTGCTGGCCCTGTCCCCAGCAGTGGGATGCCTGGGTGCCAGCAAGGACATATATTTAGCATCTGTAGATACTGTGACACATTTTCCCAAAGTGGCTGTAAAATTTTCCACGCCCACCCAGGAGCAAGCCTCACCCACCAGGCTTGGTCATTTGAAAACTTTCCTGAGCTGGTGGGTGTAAAGTACTCAGGACTCTCTCATGGTTTAAAGATGTATGGTTCTGCTAATTCAGTCAGGGACTGTGCCATTCCAGAAGTCTTTGCCCATGGTGGGATGAAGTCAAAGGTTAGGCTGCTCACAAAGGAATGAACTTAACAGAGTGAGCCCAGGATGCTTTGAGTGTCTTATCCCTGTTGAACTCTGAGGACAACTGTTGAACTTATGTGTCCTCCATAGCTCTACCCAGGGGAATAGGATCAGAGAGGCTAAGGGATTTTGTCCAAGGCCCACAGTGGGGCTGAGCCAAGATGGGGGTCCCTGTCTTTCCTGAGGACATCAGGAGAGGCTGGGCATCATCAGGGTTGTGCAGAGGTGCCTTAGTAGGCTTCTTGATCAATCCAACCAGCTCCGGCATCTCCCTATTCCCTCAGTAACGATAAAAGTAATAGTAACAACTGCTCAAGGGCCACCTGTGGCTCACCATCTTAGATCCTGCCTTACATCTCACCACTTGCACCCCAAATGTAGGAAGTATTAAAATATGGCCTGACTTTCACAGATGACAACCATGAGGGTCAGAGTGGTCGAGTAGCTTGCTGGAGTCCACAGATCCTGCAAATGAAAAATACAGCAGCTGTGCAGACCACTCGGCAATGAGTTGATGGCTGTCACGCAGGCACTGCATAGCCAGGGCACACACTGTGGCTGGATGAACGAGTGAATGGGGGGGGGGCTCAGAAGCCCTGACAGAGCTTAGAACCCTGTTATTTTCTTCGAGTATCTTGGCTCTGGCTTGAGGGAAGTTGCCATCTGGGAGAGCAGGCGCTCTCTCGGGTGAGGACGGGGAGGGGCAGGAAGAGTATGCCTGGCAGAAGGAACAGCATGTGCTGAAGCCTCAGGGTGAGATGGATTTGGGGTGTTGGGGCATGGGCACCTCATTCTGAATCGACATCTCACCCCCGCCTTCTGCCTGAACCTCCTGTCTCAGTCACCTGACATCTGGTGGTGCCAACAGCTGACCGTCCTGTGCCTAGCTTATCTTTCAATGTAACAATTTGACAAACTGTTTCAGGACTGGATATGGGAAAATGTGTATCCTTTCAAGACATTTTTGATATGGGGTCTTATGTAACCCAGGCTGGCCTTGAACTCAATATGTAGCCAAGGATAACCTTAAACATCTGACCCTCCTGAGTTCATCTCCTGAGGGCTGCACCACCACACATGCTTTATGCGGTGCTGGGACCCTCTGCCAACTGAGCTAAGTTCTCCAGCCCCTTTAAGACATAGTGAGGGTCGGGCAGTGGTAACACACACCTTTAATCCTAGCACTTGGGAGGCAGAGGCAGGCAGATCTCAGTGAGTTCGAGGCCAGCCTGGTCTATAAAGCAAGTTTGAAGACAGCCAAGACTGTTACATGGAGAAATCTTGTCTTGAAAAAGCAAAAACAAACAAACAAAAAGGCAAAAGAACCACCCAAAAAAACAAACATAGGGAGGTAGTGTTGTTGGTGCAAAGACAATAGCCAGCACTCCACCTAGCTCCCAAGCCTGCCCCCCTGTGGGCTCTGAGATAATATGTTACTCTTGTGCCGACAGGGAAACTGAGGTACAGCATCTTTTTATAACAAGCCACACAGCTGCTGGAGCCAGGGTGTGAGCTGGCAGAATAAGGGCACAGTTGGGTGGAGAGGCCTGCACTACTGTCTTCAGAACCTGGGCTGAGCAGGGAGGGTGGACTGCATGGACCCCGAAGTCAGGCCCTTCCACTACTGTCACAAAAGAAGCAGCTGCTGCCTGAAGCCAAGGCAGTTGGCTTTTCTGATTCTTTCCGCACCTCAGCCATGTCACACTGGTAGGAGCCTCCTATAGGGCCCTCTGTAAGGCTGTCCACTGTGTGACTCACTGCCTTTCCTGGCTTTCTCGTGGCCTCTAAAGACCATCCCTTTAGGCTTTCTTAGCAGCCAGGGCAACACTACATACCCACTTTGCAGGAGAACAAACTGAGACTCAGAATGTGAGGGTTGGTACGAGGAGTGGGCACAGGACTGCTGTGTGATCTCAGGCAGGCAGCCTACCCTCTCTGAGCCTCAACACCCTGGTCTCTAACTTGGTCCTCAGGAGGTAGGAACAGCTGAGAAGTGTTTGTCCCATGTCTGGTGTTATCCATGCTGCTGCTGTGGCGTTCCCTGTTGAGTACTAAGGAGCCTCCCACCCCCACCTGCACCCCCATCCCCATTAGCTCATGATGGCTGAGCTTGGCCTAGAACCCTGGGATTTGGCTCTAGGCCCAGATATAATAAACTCTACCACAGGCTCTCAACAGCCCACCTGGAGTCCAGCCCTCTCTTCCTACCGTATCAGGCAATGAGTGGGGGACAGTGTGACATCATCTCTGCTTGTCCCCCTACCGTCTCAGGCTGGGGCCCACTTGGCACGAGTCCCGGAGCCCACGCCACACAGCCTGTGCCTGTGGCAGATGGAAGCGGGGTGGGGGCGTCATGTCTCTCTGATTCACATGCTAGGGTGGGGGTAGGCTACAGCCTACCCCCTGAGCCCCCTCCTCCCTGGCTTCCTGGTGCCACCAAACATGTGCTTCAACAAAGAACAGTTTGTATGTCCTCCACCCTCATCCCCACCCCCCGCCACATGTGTGTCCCCTTGAAGGAAGCAGCCAAACCCTGCAGTGTCCTGGTCACTCCAGGAGTAGGGAAGGAGGACACCCAGCTAGAAACAGGACAGTGTCTGTCAACATCCCTTGAGCACTCCAAGCCTCAAGGCACTGTCCCTGCCCCTGAAGACAACTTAAGGACCCTTTCGGCCTAGGTGACCCAGCCCTGGCCTTGTCATTTGCTTAGTGACAGTGAATATACCTCTTAACCTTTCCTGTGATAAGGAGACAAGTGTGTCCCTTGTGTCAGTATACTCTGTGGCACAAGAGCTGCTATGACAACCAGTGATGTGACCTCAGGATGAGGAGGTGCAGGGCCTTACCCTCAGCGCTGCTACTGTCCCTCATCAGCAGGGGTGATGGCCTGGTGCCACCGTTCTGTCCTCGCTTGGGTGTGTGTCAGCCACAGTGTTTTGGGTGCATGGGTTGTGCTGAAAGGCAGCAGTGGGACACAAGCCACAACCATTCCCTGAATCTATCAGGGCAGGGAAGCTCAGTGGGAGTCACAGGGAGCCTGCAGTGGTGTGTCTGCAGTCACAGGGAGCACTAAAGATTCAAACAGCTCTCCATCCTGCTCACCACCCGCAGCCACATGCTCCTCTCAGCATCTGTCATGAATCCCCCTGGGAGTCCTGCATCCCCCATGTCCCATCTGTCCCCAGCTCTGCCGAGTGGCTCCCATATGAGGTGTGAGATTGCATCAAAGGACTGGAGGTCTGAGGCAAGTTCAAACTCGGCCCTCACCTCTGCTCAGAGAGTCCTCCCACTTTGTTCATTGACCAATCGCGAATGAGCACCTGCTGGGTGCCACAAGCACCTGCCATGTTCATGAGCACCTACTGTGATGTATTCAAGAGAGAGTGTCCTTTTCAGTCTAAACATGTGGCCCTGCCTGCCTGCCTGCCTGCCTCGTATCTGCCCACTAGGGTTTAAGACGGGACAAAGAGAAACTATGACTACTTCCTCATCCTGGGCTGGATAGTGTCAGAGCCTGACTTGGAACACCCTGAATGAGATGGACGTTGGTGCCAGCAGGCTCTGTTTATTGACATTTGCCACATAATCCTCCCCAGAATGGTTCCAAGACGACAGTACAATTGTCTCATGAGGAAATGAGTTCACGATACTCTACAGGTTTCCCCAGCATCATACAGGTGGTTGGTTCCCAAGCTGGGTTTGAGTCTGTGGCTGTCACTCAAGTCTAGGATCATTACCAAAATCCCAAGATAATGATATGAGAGTCCCATCCAGAAGGCCTGGCAGCAGGCCTGTTCTGGCAGGTCACAAATGCATTATAGTAGGCTCTGCCCTCCTCCAACTGTGTCCCAGCCCTTGGAGGGAGATTTGTGTCATGGGGCCCAGCCATAGAAGGTTCTAGAAGCCCCTAGTGTGGTCCTTTTCCACTACAAAGCTGAACATGTATGGGTTCCCACTCCCTTCTGCATGCAGGCTCTGTCTGTGGGTAGGCTGCTTGCCTTTGCTTCACTATCCCAGCTTTGCCTACCAGAAGCTAGGCTCACCTATGGTGGCCGGCTGAGTGGTGGCATCTCCATGTGACATCACTATCCTTCCTTTTCCTCTGGAGCAGCAGGAGCTCCCGGTCCGTGGGAACCTCTCGGCGCCAGCCCCAGCCGTGCCCACCGCCCTGCACACCAAGATGGATGAGCTAGAAGGCCAGCTCCTGGCAAAGGTACTGGCGCTGGAGAAGGAACGCGCTGCCCTCAGTCATGGCAGCCACCAGCAGCGACAGGAAGTGGAGAAGGAGCTGGATGCCCTGCAGGGTCGAGTGGCAGAGCTGGAGCATGGTAGGTCCCGGAGTGCAGATTGCTGAGCTGCCAGGCCCTCGTCTCTGGCTGCAACTTCCAGAGGCTGTGGTACATGAGAAAAAGAGCCTGCTGGGAGACTGCTGTCACTCTCAAAGCTACTGCCGACAATTAATTGTCATTTTCTGGTTCTGCTGGGTCCAGGAGCTGGCTGTGCAATGACATGCTGACTGACTTAATCTGCAGTAGCTGCAGGGGTTTTCACAGCTAATGACAGTGAGTTTGAGAGAGGTCAAGTGACTTGTCAAAGGTCACATAGCCAGTGAGTAGATGGTCTAGACCTATGACCAAATCCTTCAGACTCCATGGCCCATGCATTTAGCTGTCCACAATTAACACCCATTACTAATCTGCCAGCCTTCTGTCATTTGTGTAGCCCTCAGGGGGTCAGAGAATGGACAGTGTGTAGGTGCAGGTATCAGGTCTCCCGAGTTCCAAGTCTGTTGCTGTGTGACCTTCAAAGGTCATTTTCTTTCCTCAGGCCTCACTGTCTTCACATGAGAGATGGAGACAGGATTAGGGGTGTATGAGCTATCATGGGCCCTTGTAAGGGCAAGCTGGGGAGATGGGAAGCTAGGAGTGGCTCAGGTGTCTTCCTGAAAGAGGGGTCTTAAGCCCAGGAAAAGCAAGTACCTGTGAGGCCCAAGGGGCCATGCTGGCTTCAGCTGTAGGGAAACAGTGGGCCCGAGGAGCTCCAAGGAGGCACCTAGTTGAGTATTTGAATTTCAGCAGTGGTCTCTGTCCCCTCAGTCCAGCTACTGTGCTCCCCCCATCCCTGAGGACCAGGGGAAGTGCCTTGTCCTCTCTTAACTGCCTGCAGGACAGAGGAGGGAAGGCATGGTAAACGCTCCCTCTCTCCCCCCATCACCTCCTGTCCTGGGGCTCCATCCCTGTCTCTATACTAAGTTGAGTCTTTGACCTTTTGTTCAAATCCCAATCCTGCTGCTTGCTTTCTTTGTGACCTTGAGAAAATAACCTTTGTGTGCCCAGGTATACCTGAAAACTGAGGCATGACAGTGCCTGCCTTTCAAGCTTGCAAGGAAGTGATGGGCAGAAGGTACTTAGAGCCAGCCTGCCACACATGGAGCGCTGGGGAATGCTTCTTAAGTTGGCGAGTGACTGTAAATAGCCATGATTATAACTTGTATTTGGTGAGCCTACTCTGGGCCTCACAGTGTAGAATGGAGAACGTGTCATTAGCCCATTTTACTGAAGAAATGGAGGCCCAAGGAGGTTTCATTTATCGCATTGAGACTCACAGGTCAGAAAGAGGTGATGGCAAGATTTGAACTTGAGACATCTGAAGTCCAGAGAGAGCCCCTGGGCCTATTTTAGTCACACCTCTCAACCCAGAGGCAAAAGCAGACGAGGTGAAACCACTTGGCACCCCCACCCCACCCCTGCCCTCACTCCTGTGCCCCAGGGTCCTGGAACCATCAGCCCTCATTGCACGGCGCCCACTGACCCTGTCTTGTCCTTCTCCAGGGTCCTCGGCCTACAGTCCCCCTGATGCCTTCAGGGTCAGCATTCCCATCCGCAATAACTATATGTATGCCCGTGTTCGCAAGGCACTGCCGGAACTCTATGCCTTCACCGCCTGCATGTGGCTGCGCTCCAGGTCGGGTGGCTCCGGCCAGGGTACCCCCTTCTCCTACTCAGTGCCTGGGCAAGCCAATGAGATCGTGCTGCTGGAGGCCGGCCTTGAGCCAATGGAACTACTGATCAACGACAAGGTGGGCTCTGCTTCCCAAAGCACAGTGCCCCTCACTACCTCGGTGCTGAATGTGGTTGACATTTTCATTCTCCTCTTCACCATACTCACCACACATTAAACACCTGCTATGTGCCAAGTTCAGTTCTGGGAATGAGGGCTGATGGTTCCAGACAATCCAGATGCAGAGCTGGCTAAAGAAGGGGAAATAGGCTGACTTTCAGGTCACGTGGTTAGAGGCCAGCCTACAGGCATCTACACCCCGAACCCTGTGCATTCTCCTGAGCAGAGAGAGAAGGGAAGAAGAACTACTAAAAGGCTTGTCTGGGGAGAGGTGGGCTGCTGGTGATCCCCAAAGCATATAACAGAGGTCACACTCGCCTGGGACCAGCCCACAAGCTATACCTCTGGGAGCTTCACAGGGTGTCAAGAGGCAGGAGGCATTGCCCAGGAAGGTAATGTTGCTTTAAGGTCTCAAGATCGCAGGGGTGACCAGGCTCCACCTGAGAGGGTTGTCCTGACCCCTTCATCTTGGCTCGTCTTTACTGCCTGGCAGAGGGCAGCAGTGGGCCCTTGAGATGGAGAATTCAGCACCCTGGACAGGGCACAGCACCGTCAGCCTTGTTCCTGCCGGTGGGTGGCTCTTCCCTGCTCCCCACTCCCGCCTCTGTGTCTTTACAGGTTTGCCATAGCCGATTAGATGCCCTTCCTGGGGGCTTTTGTCAGCAGCTTTTCCCACCCTACTCCTCGGCACCCCTCCCCGCTGGCATCCTTTGCATCCTCCAGCTCTGACATCTCACTGCCATAACAGTTTGGGGTACTGTCAATCTTGGGAAGTCAGGGTGGCAAGAGCAGCGGTAGCTGTGAGGGCCAGAATGTGAGGAGGCTGGTCACATTGCAGAATGAGATGAATGGAGGCTCTCAGCTGGTTTCTTCCTTTTTACTCAGTCTGGGAACTGCAGCCCATCAGCCACATTTGGGACAGGCCTTCCTCCTTCTAGATCTCTCTAGAAACTCTCTCACAAGCAGTAATGCCCAGAGGCATGTCTCCTGGGTGATTCAAAATCCAGTCGAGCTGAGAGTGGAGATGAACAGTCACAGGCCATTTTGTCCCCGGAGTCCTGCTTTCCTGTGCAGGCAAATTTGTTCAAGGCTGTGCCCAGATCCACCCTGTGAGTCTGGAATGGGGCCTGGCATCCAGCAGGCACCAGAGAATACCTTGTGGAGTCGTGATCTCAGAGCATTTGGGAGATAAAGGAGCCCTTTAAAGCCACAGACAACAGGTGGTGTTCACCTCACAGACCAGCATCAACAAGCCATCAACAGAGGCTTCTAGAGCACCATGAGCAAGACTCGCAGGTTACATCTAGGCTCATGATTGATTAGCCATTTCTGCCTTGGGTGCAGGAAGAGGCAGCAACTGTGTATGCTCTCTAGCACTTTATAGACAAGGCCCTGGAAGAAAAGACAGCCTCCCTAAGGTCACATAGGGGCTGGTGGCAGATCCAGGGCCAGACACTAGGACCCAGCCTCTGAGTTCAAGACTCATTCTGTCCTAGTGTATGAGCCCCACTGTGTACTGGGCACTGTTTTAGGTGTGTAAAGTTGTAGACACTGCCCTACCATGTGTGACCTTGAAGCCCTGAAAACCAAAAAGATAGTTCCAGTGACCTGAAGGAAGCTGCTTGGTGGGGTCATGTGGGAAGAGGGACAGTCAGGACAAGAAAGACAATGGATAGAATGCAAATTTGGCCTTGGATTCCATCCCTAGAGGAAAGCTGTGAGGCTGGCTGCTAGGCCTTCCCACTTCTCCAGCCTTGGGCTTCTCACCCGGGTTTGGGTCCTATGTCCAGGTGGCCCAGCTGCCTCTGAGCCTGAAGGACAACAATTGGCACCACATCTGCATTGTCTGGACTACCAGGGATGGGCTGTGGTCTGCATACCAGGATGGTGAACTTCGGGGCTCTGGTGAGAACCTGGCAGCCTGGCACCCTATCAAGCCACATGGTATCCTTATCCTGGGCCAAGAACAGGTAAGGCTCAGGAAGCATGTACCCCCAAAGTCATTATCCTACACACTCTGGAGCTCCTAAAAAGCAATCAAGAGGAAGTAAAAAACAGCAGTGAGCATGCTGTCTAACCCACCAGTGTGCAGATGGGCAGCTGAGAGCTAAAGAAGCAGATGGAGCGGGAACCTGGGATGAGACCTTGGAGTGGTGCTAGGGAAGGGCATGAGCCTTGAGAGTGAGGCTAGAGCCTTGGGAGGAAGCATCCTTGGGTGGGGCTAGGACCTGGCTTTGGCAATTGTAGGGCCTAGCTTGGTTGCCTCTGCCCTTGTTCCCTCATTCCATGTTTCTCTCCTTTCTTTGTCGCTTGGCTCAGGATACTCTGGGGGGCCGATTTGATGCCACCCAGGCCTTCGTCGGTGACATTGCACAGTTCAACCTGTGGGACCACGTCCTGACACCTGCCCAGGTCCTAGGCATGGCCAACTGCACTGGACCACTGATGGGCAATGTCCTCCCCTGGGAAGATAAGCTGGTGGAAACCTTCGGAGGTGCAAAGAAGTCCACCTTTGATGTCTGCAAGGGGAGGGCCAAGGCATGAGGAGCCACCTTGTTCAGAACCCCTCCCTTGCCTGTCACTTTGGGGACCTTGAAGGGGCACTGCCCTTCTCAGCCTGTTCATGTGCTGACCTTCCTACCACACTCCCGTCCATACCTCCCATTCCCCATCACAGGCACCCACACCTCCAGAATGCCCTGCCCTGGACGGATGTCCCCTCAGCTGCCTGGGTAGGGACCAGTGTCTCCAGTCAACTACTCCAACCTAGGGGAGTTGTCTTGGCAATGTATTGGCTTGGTCTCTCTCCTTAAACACTCTGTCCCCCCACCAGTCACATCAGACTGATCTAATTCCAACATTCCCCAAGGAGATGTGGGTAGAGGTGGCCTTTGACCCTCTCATCCCCTGTGCTTCAGGCCTACACAGGCTGTAGAAGGGATGCCAGTCATGTATGAGATCAGACCCTCCTCATCTGTCTTCCTCAGTTGCCCACAGGGGCTACAGGATCATCGTTCCCATTGCCCATCTCCTGCTCCCTCCTGGCCCCAGTTTCTTTGTGTATTGTGGTTAGAATGTTGGTTTGTTCCCTTCCAGGATGTTCCCTTCCCTGCCCCCACCTAACAGCTAGGGACCAAGACCTTGGAGGCCAAAGGGCTGTAATCACTCCCCTACCCACTGGCAACTTTGCCCACCAGCATGGTTGACCTCCCCACCCCCATGCCCAAGACAGGACCTGGGTCACTCTAGCCTAGCCTGATAGCATCCAAAGCAGAGGCACCATGTCCTAGGAGACATTTTCCTGCCAGAGCCCTGTGGCTTAGCCACGGTATCAACTCCTTTTGCATGGCCCTGGAAAGGCTGGAGGATACTGAGAGAGAGGACAGAGCACTGAGTGAGAGAGAGGACCCCTTGTTTCATACTCAGTCCTGCTGCTGACTTGCTGTGTGGCCTTCTGTAAGAACCCTTTCTGGGCCTGGCTTTCCTCCTTTGTGAGCTGAGGCCATACTATTGGCTGCTTCTGAGAATGCCCCACTTAGGACATGAGATGAACCATGATACCTTGTGCACAGAGCAGGCAAAGACAGCACTGAAGGCCCAGTGACTTAGCACAGAAGGTTCTGGAACTGAATAGCAGATGTAATCGGGTGGGCAGGGGTTAGGGTCACAGCTAGCTCAAAGGGTCAGTGTCAAGGACAAGGCTCAAGGCAGACCAGACACCAGTAAGTTTTAGCTCTCATTGGATCCTTCACCCTTGCTTTTCTGAGAGTATCTCAGCTAGTGGCTACCTGGTCCCTGCCTGTGAGTTCTTACCAGCTCCCCCAGGAGCACAGAAGAATGTCAGTGCTGAGAAAGGCCACCCATTGCAAGCTCTTGCTTGTGGGAAATGGGGAAGATCACAGAGAGGGCAATGAATTGCCCAGGATCACACAGCACAACATGGTGGGCCTAGTGCTTCTGAATCCCTCCTCAGTGCTCTTCTGCATACCATGCTGCCTGTCCTGGAGGGTCTTTGAGCCCAGCTTATACCTGTGCAGGGAGGCATTTGAGAGGGCACAGTGTGAGACATCCAACCTCAGGCTGTGAGGGAAGAGCCAGGACAGATAGATGGCTGAGGATGCAGTGCCCTCCTGGTCCTCTCCCAAGTCCCGCCACAGTCGCAGCTGGCTGAATCAGTGGGCACTGGTGCCCCCACCTCTGTCCTCGACAGCTTTTGTCCCTGTCTGTGCTCCCAATGGCCATTCAGCCTGAGACATGACGCAGGAACGGGAGTTTGCAGCCCATGCCAGGGAAGCCTGTCCAAGGCTTGCCTCTGGCCTGCAGATCTCTCTCTGTTTCCATTTTTAGAGCAACTACACATCTCAGCACCTCCATTCCCATCTCCTGAAGATAGTTGTAGTGGCTTCACCCAGACCTGCTGAAAGTCAGGTTGCCCAGTAACAGCCAATGATATCAGCTCTGGTGCTGGGTCAAGTGTCTGTCGTTCAAGTTGTTGCTGGGTGATAGCTAGATGCAGAACTTAGACCTCAGGGACTCTGAGCCTCGTCAGGCTTTTGCTGTTGTTCTAGAAGAGGTAGCTTTAGAGGAGGCCTTGGGAGGATAGAGTCTTAGGAGGGATAGGGCAGAAACTGCTGGGTCATTTGAACCCACCAGACACACCATCCTGATCCTTTCTGCTTTGTCCCAGTGGTGATGAGAAATGACACCTCTGCCACATTCCCATGCCAGGTCACCCTGGTTAAACTCCAGCCACCTCCCCCCAGGAGAAAGAAATGGAGACATTGGGGCATGTCTCTGAGTGTGGCTCACTAGGGAAAGGACTGGCTCTCTATTTCCAGAGTCCTCACCTGTTCTCATCTATTGTGCTGTGAATATTCCCTGAGCATGTGGACCCCTGTTTTGATGCCTTCTGCTGCTCCCAACAGGACAGCTGAAACCCTGAGTTGCCCCTGGGTCTGATGAAGATGGAGCTGGGTTTGTAGGCAGCCTTAGACACTGCAACTACAGAGCGCTCTGTCTGCACTGTCTGGTTTGTCCTCACAGCACAGTATAAAGAGGTAGGACTGTTCTTAGCCTGTAATGCAGGAGAGAAGGACAGGGCTCTGAGAGGGTGGAGTAACTTGCCCAGTATCAATTGGCCAACTGGTGACAGTGCTATTTCTATTTGGAGGCAGGTTACATGCCTGGAGGATGGGGCCACCTTCTTCAGAGTGCAGAAGGAGCAGAGATGGGGTGTAGGGCTCAGAGCCAGTGAAGGATCTCTCACCTATGCTCAAGCCTCAGCCTCTACCTGGGCTGCAGTTTGCAGGGCAGGAAAGGAGTGTCTCTGAAGTGAAGGCAGGAAGACAGGGCAGAGGTGGCGGCTCCTCAGCCTCCTGCTCTGGACAAGGCCTATGCCAGGTGCTCTAAGCTGATCTCTGCCAGATCCCCACCTCTGAAGCATGTGGTGGCCTCTCTCACATCCCAAGGCAACATCTTGCCAGTTATACATGAATGGGGACCACAGACATGAGCATCTGTGGGAGGGAACTCAACCCTTGGCTTGCAGATGGGGAAGCTAAGGCCTGGCCAGGGAGCTCAAATGACCCTTGAGGCTCCTCTGACTGTGCCTTGTCTTCTCCACTTTTCCCCCAAACTGGGTCCCACCTACCTGCAAGTCCCAGCACCTTTGGCCTGAGAAAACTGGAGAAGTATCTTCTCCCAGATAAGGGTCTCCCCTCTCCACCCCTTAGCTCCAGCTGCCTGCCACCCCAGGTCCCACCTCCCAGCCTACCCCCTGCCCCTGCTGGGTAAGGAACTGGCTCCTTCCCAGACTGAGCAGCCAGCAGTGCGCATGTGAAATTGTTGTCATTGTCCTGGGACACTGTGAAATGAGTGCCCTCCACTGCCCTCCCCCTTCACTTGGCTCTATTTTGTATATAAGTAACATGAGATATTTTGTGTGTGTGTGTGTGTGTGTGTTTGATCTGTGTCATGGTTTTGTTACCATTTTTGTTTTTGTAAATTTGAATGTTCAAAATAAACATGGTTTACTCGGAGGAGGCTCTTTTTTTAATGTGGTAATTGGGGCAGGGGAACATGCTGACCCCACAGAGCAACATCTGCCCCTAGCCTTCCCTAAAGCCTCACCTATTCATATATGCCCCCCACCTGACCTGGCCAGTTCCGCTGAGCTAGGCTCAGACATACAATTTCCCAGAATCTCCAAGGAAGGCTGTGTAGAAGCAAGTCCCACGTGGGAAGTGCCCCAGTTCTAACTCGGCTTTGGCCTCATTCCCAACACCCCTTCCCCACCTGTGCCCCAGTTCCGGGATCCAGCTCCATGGTGTTGCTTAGGACCCAATCTTCCTGAGTCACATGCCCAGACCCCAAAAGAGCTGCATCCCTTGGGCCTTTGGCAAGTGGTCCGAGAAGAGAAAGACTATGGTATCTCCTCTGTTTCACACTTTCCCCTTTCCTTTCCTCCCCAGGTTTTGTCTAGGTTCATCTGGTGCCTCTGACCTCTAGACTGGACACTAGGGTCCACACCATCTTAGGGGGATCTTACCAGCATGGCACTATTCCCTGCTAAACTTGACCTCAAGTGGTGACTTTTGGGACATCAGGGCAGAGGGGTGGGTTTGGAGGTTATGAATACACGCAAGACTGAGCTTCCCAAACTCCCAAGAGTGGATTTAGTCCTGAAGGAAACACATCACACAGGAAAGCCACATTTGTTGCTGCTGAGGCCTCGGGACATCTGTGAGCTCACAGGTTTGTATTAAAACACAATCCCGGGGAGCTGTAAGCAGATACACCTGGAAGACTGAGCTGCTGGCCAACATATCTTGTTTATCCCATCTTGTACCACTTTTCCTTGCAACACACCCTCTCCCCCTTTGTCCCACCCAGCTGGCAAAGTCCCACCACCCAGGGAAATCCCCTTCTGCCTGCTCCACACCTGCACAGGCAAATGCAGCAGGCAAGCCTAGGCTATATCTATAAGCATCACGGCACAAATCCATAGCCAGAAATGGCCCAGAACAGCCATACCTCCTGCCTCCCTTCAAGGTCTTGCTTTCCCAAACAGCAGCATCATATCCTCTGTCCTTAGTCTACAGCCCTCTTCCCCAGCCCTGAATGCTGGAGGGTGACCTTTCCCTCACAGCTCATCAAAGTGTCAGAGGCATGGACCATTCTTCCCTCAGTACCATCCCCAGGCCCGACAATGAACTGTATCAGCCTTGTTCTTAGCTCCCTTCTGCCACTCCAAATGAGCTATGTCTGCTTCTCTCAGAGGCAATAAGATATGGATCCATCCGTTTGACCTTCTCAAGAACCTGTCTCCTGAATCCCCAACTCCTTCCTCCTTTGTCAGCTCTGTCATTCCTGTGGGCATACAAGTGACCAAGTATCTCCTCTCTTAAACGGGCCGAGTTTGGGCGTATAGTTGCTGAGGTTTCAAATCCATGGTCAGCTGGCTCTGTCATTTCTGGATGGTGGCTGAAGCAGAGCATCACAGTAGAAGGTTGTGAAGGAGAAAAGCTGCTCTCCCTTGGTGGCCAGGAAGTAGTGTGGGGTTGGGAGCAGTACACCATTCAAAAAAGCATGTGCCAATGATCAACTCCTCCAAACAGTCCCCACCCCCAATAATCCTAAGTCCTAAGTGCAGTAAATGGTAGAGTCAGTGCCCTCTGAGCCAATCACCTCTCAGGAGCATCACCCACCAGAGACCACCAATGAATCTCTCAGGAAGATACTTAAGACACCCACAAAATTCCCTTGAGCCAATACCCTCTTTGACCATTCCTCATGTTTTTTTTTTTTTGTTCCTGAAAAAGCATCTGTTTCAGGCTGATAGTTCACTAGAGTGCCTGTCTAGCACTTACAAAGCCCTGGGTTCCATCCCCACTATAATCCAAAGGTGGTAGCAGATATGCAGGCCCTGTGGCACCCAGGTACACAGCAGGTGTTGGGCGGGACTGGCCCCAGATGTCTGCTTCCCATCATCAGGGCTGGTTCAGCCAACACAGCTAATCCCAGGGCTCAGAGGGCCCACTGCAAGGCTGGGGCAGGCCTCTTCTGAGAAGCCTGGGACCAGGAACGTGACCTCTGAGCTCCTGTTTCTCACCTGTAGGACAGAACACCAGCCATTCTGCAGGAAAGGGGCAGAAGGCAGAGCTGGGGACATGGAGGGTTTAGAGGTGTCTGGTTTGGCAGTCTCCAGGATGCCATGCACGTGCTATGCCACTGAGGTGGTGTCTTAGCCTCTGTGTGTGAGGGTGGGGTGGGAGGTGGGGTTGTTTTGTTATAGACAGGGTCTCTCTCCACAGCCCTGGCTGTCTTGGAACTCACTTTATAGACCAGGCTGGCCTTGAACTCACAGAGATTCACCTGCCTCTGCCTCCTGAGTGCTGGGGTTAAAAGGATGCGCCACCACTGCCTAGCATGTGTTTCTTTTTATTCTGGCTGAGACTTGCTGTGACTAAAGGCACATTCCGCGGTGCCCAGCTTCCCCGGCATAATTAGCAAGCAATCTAGACCTCCACCTCCATCATCCCGGCTCAGCTGCTTCTCAGCCCTCACTTAGCCACTCTTCCCCCTTTGCTGATCTCACTCTGGAAATGCTGGACATCCTGCTGTTTCCCAACATGTGCCAGAAGGAGGGGATGTGTGCATGCATCTCCTTGGGTCTGAACTGCTTCTCCTCGTTTCCCAGCAGACTCACCTTGGCATGCTACTTAAGTCTAATTTGTTACACAGCACTCACAGGAATTTTGCTGACCACCTGGACTAATTGGCTACCTGGCCATTCTGTCCTTTGTCCTACCTTTTTCATGTATCAGATGTAAGAACTAAGCCCTTTCCACTCAGACTGGACTTAAATGTGTACCTGCTCAGGGTTCCTCTTTCATGGTGACACAGCATGTACCTCTCTTTGTAAACACCTTGTTTACTTTTATTGTGGACCACCCAGAGTGCCTACTGAATGTACATCACCTCCATAGCAGAAGCAACTGGGTTTACCTTTTTCATTGTTATGTGTCCACCTTATTTGGTACAAACTAAGTGTTTGCTTAACATACACTGACTGGATACTAGTAACTGACTGACTGTTTGCTATGTGCCTGTCAGGTCCATATGTTCCTGAGAAGGAGAGTGTGGATTGAGGAAAGAAATAGACAAGACACAGAAAATAGAGTTGGGAGGGCACTCATCGAATACTTTTACAAGGCCCCAAGTTTATTACTCATCACCCTTATATACCCCAAGCAAAAGGGGAGGGCAAAAGACTTCCATGATACAAAGAACAAACGAAATTACCTTCCCAATACCTGAAACACCTGGTCACCACGCCCTAAGTCGAACATCCTTATAATTTGGTCTTGAGAGTCAAGACGTCCAATAGCCTCACCTTAGGCCAAACATCCTGTTGTTTAACCTTGAAGGAGCCAGAAAAAGTTTGAACTCTGACCTTGAGTCAATAGTACGGATCTGCCTCTGCGGGCCTCCACATGTGCGGAGCACTGCTTTTAGCACTAGGCATATATTAGCTTATTCAGCCCATCAAGGGAAGTAACATGAGAACCGAGACCCAGGAAGAGGCTTTGCCAGGATCACAAGGCTGGGAAATGACAGCACCAGGATGTTTACAAAGCCCGATTCCAGAAGAAACAAGCCCTTCAGTCAACCTCTGTCCCTGTAATTAATCCACTTACAAAAAGAAAGGGTTTGTTTTGCCTCACAGAATTTCTAGTCCACAGAATGACATATGATGGCTGGAGTGTGTGAGAAATGAAACCATTCACCTCATGTCCAGGAAGGAAGAGGAGGAGGAGGACAGGCCCCACAGTTCCCTTTAAGGGTATGTCACCAAAGTCCTAAGGGCTTCCTGCTAAGGACCCACCAGTTAAAGTTCCACAGCCTACCAATAGTGCCAAGCTAGACACACCTTAGACACATGGGTCTCTGTGACACATTTGTCTTCTAAACATACAAAGGCTGCATGAGGAAGTGTGTCTGTACGTGTGACTTAAGGCTCCCTTTGTCCCTTCAGGGACATCAGAACACATATTTAAGAAACAAAGGTGGGACTTCTTTTGCAGACTCTCTCTCACTGAGTAAACATAGCAACATTAAACACACATCACCCACTAAGGCATCAGCCTGGAGGTGAGAGACAAAGGTCCCAGAGAGAAGAGAATTTCAGAGGGCTGCTGCTTTCCTCCAGGGGCACCTGACCCATTACAAGAGATGCCTCAGGTGAGTAGCAGGTTTTTATGTACAAGAAACTAGAAGACAAATAGGAGAGAGCTTCCTGTTAGCAGTGGCAGTTCAGGATAAGGCACTCTTGGAAGGCTTTCTGGGGCCCACAAGTTTAAAATGCAAGCCATTTCAACAATGGCTTGCTAGATGCAAAACCAACCCTTTCCTGGACGGTAGAAACCTCATTCAAACCCACACACTGTGTTATATATGGTTCTTTGTTCCAAAGACAATGATCAGATACATCTTCAAAGAGAATGGCTGAGGCTCCAGAGGGAGGAGTGGATTTAAAGTTCAATAGAGGGGTTGGAGAGGTGGCTTAATGGTTAAAAACACCAGCTGGTCTTCCAGAGGTCCTGAGTTCAATTTCCAACAATCACATGGTGGCTCACAACCATCTGTAATGAGATCTGGTGTCCTCTTCTGGCCTGCAGGGATACATGCAGACAGAACTCTGTATACATAATAAGTAAATCTTTAAAAAATAAAGTCCAATAGATGTGCAAATTCTATAAAATTCCATTAAACTAAATACACAAATATTCACACATATACACACATAAACACACACACACACACATTTACACACATGCTCATACACACACACATTCACATATCTGCACACATATACACAAGAACAAACAAAGAAAACCTCTGTCTCCATCATGACGACACTGCCCTTTATTTTTGCAGGATGTTGTTGGGGGACACTGGTAATGAGCATATGGGATTGCTCTCTTTTCTTAAGGATTATTTTCTATGTTTCTAATTCATCTGGAAAGATGTGGAGGAGTTGTGCATGTGGATGATTCCCTAGAGTCGGAGTTACAAGCAGTTTTGAGCCACCACGTGGTGCTAGAAACTGAACTTGAGTCCTCTGGGAGAGCAGCCCTCTTTCCAGTGGTGCCTTTTTTAATTTTCTTTTTTCTTTTTTTATTTTTGGAGACACGGTTTCTCTGTGTAACAGACCTGCCTGTCCTGAAACCCACTATATAGACCAGGCTGGGCCTGGAATTCAAAGAGATCCACCTGCCTCTGCCTCTCTGCCTCTCGCCTTTCTCTCTCCTCTGCCTCTCTCCTCTGCCTCTCTCTCTCCTCTGCCTCTCTCTCTGCCTCTCTCTCTGCCTCTCTCTGCCTCTGCCTCTCTGCCTCTCTCTGCCTCTCTCTGCCTCTCTCTGTCTGCCTCCCCAGTGCTGGGATTAAAGGCGTGGACCACCACTGCCAGGCATGTTTTTTTTAGAACTGATTGGGAAAAGGAAAGGAAATAGCCTTCCCTAAGACCTGGAAGGAATGCTCTCAAGTCACGGAAAGTGTCATAATTTGTTATGGAAGCAGTAGAAAAGTAATTAATATACTAGCTCATAATATGTTTGAACAAAAAGCCAGTCTAAAAAATTCACAAAATCATACCAAGAATGAAAGTAGAGATTTGTAACAAAAAAGGGGATAATTACAAAGGCTTGTAAAAAGATGTAATATACTTTATTATTTTATTTTTTTATTTTTTGAGTCAGGGTCTTACCTTGTAGCCACTTCTGCCTACCTCTGCCTCCTAAGTGCTGGAATTAAAGGCATGCAGCACTTAGTGGCTTGATGCAAAACTTTTAAATAACCCTTAGATTTATTCTTGATGCTGTTGTTGAGACAAGGTCTCACTATATAACACCCATTTGGCAGCTCACAACCATCTGTAACTCCAGTTTCGGGGATCTGCCTTCTGGGGTTCACAGGCACCAGACATGGGCATGGTACACTAACATATAGGTAAGCAAATCACCCACAAAGAGGAAAATAAAATGGAAAACAAAAATATTGTTGATAGACTCAATAAACTCCACAGTAGGTTCTTTCTGAAGCAATGTCTCGTGGCCAGACATGTTGGCACATGGCTGTCATTTTAGCACTTGGAAGGCTGAACAGGAGAAGCAACAGATAGAGGTTAGCTTGGTTTATATAATGAGACTTTTTTTTTTAAAGAAAGAAAGAAAAAAGAAAGGAAGGGAGAAAGAAAGAGTTGGTGGCGCATGTCTTTAATCCCAGCACTTGGGAGGCAGAGGCAGGTGGATCTCTGTGAGTTCAAGACCAGCCTAGTCTACAAGAGCTAGTTCCAGGATAGCCTCCAAAGCCACAGAGAAGTCCTGTCTTGAAAAACAAAAACAAGAGAGAGAGAGAGAGAGAGAGAGAGAGAGAGAGAGAGAGAGAGAGAAATTCAAAATGGTTAATTTCAGTGAAGAGGGTATGTATAAGGAAATAGATGAGATTCCTTGGAAAGTTTGTCAAAGTTAGTTTAAAACCAGCTTTGTTCCAGAAGAGGGGACAGGAGGGGCAACCTAGTTCTTTACTCTCCCTTCTCCACAGCTAAGCACATACATGTGTGATTGCTTCCACAACTAAGCACACACACACATGTAATTTCTTCCTTGATCTAGTGGCGGGCCTAAGAGCTCAAACACCTCTCTACCATCTGGCCTCTGGGTCATGCATGAAGGAACCTTAGAGCACTTGCTCTTCATTGGGACCTTGGCCTGGGGCTCACAGGAGGAGAGGAAATGGAGCCATAGGACACACAGGAGGGATCAGTGACAGGAACTGGCACAGAGTGAGGTGGGAAGTCAAGGGACTTGTGTTTACCTAGGATCCCAATCCCAGGTGCTTATGGGCAAGAGAATAAAGAGCTGGAAGAGAACACAGGATCATGGGAGCAGAAAAAAGTCAGCAAGGGGAGTCTTCATCAGAGGGAGACCATGAAGAGTTGGGGTCCTCCTGTTATCTATGTACAGCTAGGGGCATGAAACAGGAGGAAGGTGAGTCCTGACTGCCTGCTGGAGACAGACACTTGATCCCATGGGGCACTGTGGGGTGAAGGAAGGCACTGCTCAGCAGGGATGAAACTTGGGTTTAGGAAGGACCACACTGACTGGAATGGAGAATTACAGAAGAGCAGGGCTATAGATGGCATCTTGGAAAGGAAGTCGTTGCTACAACAATGGCTCCAACTGCATTGTTGTACAGGGGTGGGGCCTTGTGAGGAGACAGGACTAGGAGTAGCTGACTAGTCACTGGCTGGAGGTAGGTTATGGTTGAGAAAGTGTAAAGTGACATCTTGGTGTTGGGGAATATTCGATCACACTGTGAACCCCGAGTTTGCATTTGTGTTAATTAAATAAAATTAACCTTGGGTCAGGAGGTTGAGTTAGCAACTACTTGACAGAAAGTAATCATAGAGCATCAGAGGGCATCCAAGAGAGTTAGAGATGCAGGAAGTAGTAGGTGAGGTTTGGAGTGTCAAGCTTTTTGTGTGTTTGTTTGTTTGTTTTTTGTTTTGTTTTTGTGTTTTGTTTTGTTTTGTTTTGTTTTTTGTTTTTTCGAGACAGGGTTTCTCTGTGTAGCTTTGGAGCCTATCCTGGCACGCGATCTGGAGACCAGACTGGTCTCAAACTCACAGAGATCCGCCTGCCTCTGCCTCCGAGTGCTGGGATTAAAGGCATGTGCCACCAACACCTGGAAACTTTTTCTGGTTTTGCTAAGTGGAAGCACAGGTCTTTCAGAGGTGCCAACAAAGAGGGAAAGTTAGATAACTGCAACCCAGCCTCTCTGAGCTAGCAGGTTTTTACCCCAGCCTTTGAATCTCGAGTCATATAAATTGAATGATGGAGATTTAATTAAAGCTACCTTTAACAGCAGCAGCAGCAGCAGGGCTGGTGCCTTAGGGAACACAATTCCTGCCAGGCTACAGCTTGAGTGGCCAGGTCACTGCTAGAGAAGCAGACCAGTAACTATTCAGTTGCTGGCTGAAATAGCAGTAGATTAGGACCTAGCCACTGTACGGAAGTTAAAATAATACTTTGGAGGCCGGGCATTGGTGGCACACCAATGCTTTAATCCCAGCACTCGGGAGGCAGAGGCAGGTGGATCTCTGTGAGTTCGAGGCCAGCCTGGTCTCCAGAGTGAGTGCCAGGATAGGCTCCAAAGCTACACAGAGAAACCCTGTCTCGAAAAATAAAATAAAATTAACACTTTGGTGTCTGTGGAGGCAACTAAGTGGCGAAGGGAGCCATTTACCCAGATGGGGAATATGGGGAGAGCAAGCTAGAGAATCCACTCAGTCTGAGACATGCTACTTTGAAAAGCTTGTGGGCCATCCTGGTAGAGGCGGCCAGGATTCTACTGGAAATCTGGGCCAGGTGCACAAAGAGAGGTCTGGAAAGTAAAACATAGGAGCAATCAGAATCTAGGAAGAGGAGGGTAAAGGAACTATGGGTGTGGCTAAGAGCTCCAGGGACAGTCATAAAAGAGCGCTTCTCATCAAGGCACACATTGGGAACACTGCTCCCTGGAAGACTTTTGCAGGGTATACACCTCCCCCCCACAATTCCACTAAGTATTGGAATTCTGCTTGATGAGGAAGCAAACAGTTAGAGAGCACTGATGGACTGTTGTTCTTGTCAGTATGACTAAATACCTGGAAGAAGCAATTTAAGGAAGTATAGTCCAGCATTGTGGCCCATGTCTTTAATCCCAGCACTCAGGAGGCAACAGACCTCTGAATTTGTGCCAACCTGGTCTACCATGTGAGTTCCAGGACATCAGGGCTACACAGAAAAACACTGTCTCAAAAAAAGAATGGTATTTCTTCTAGCTCATAATCCAGAACTATAGTCCATTATGACAGGGAAAGCATGACAACCAGGACATAGCTCCTTTACATCTTGTTGGCTTCAGTAGCAGAAAGGAGCACTGGAAGCAGGGCCTGCTTCCCAGCTGCCTGCCAGCTAGGTCTGATGTCCCAAAGAATTCTACAACCTGTCCAAACAGTGCCGCCAGCTGGAGATCAAGTGTACAAAATATAAGACCATGGATGACATTTCACATCCAAATCATAACAACTTGTTAGGAAAAAAAAACATTCGAGTTAAGAAGCAAAGCAAGAGCCCAAGATGAAAGCCAAATAAATTCAAGAGGCACAAGAGTGAGATACCCTGTTAGCCAGTGGCTCTCACTGTTAGGGTGCAAAAAAAAGCCTGTGAAAAACCCACACTCCTGCCTCTCTCCATCGAAGGAGACCCTGGAGTCTGCATTGCAAAGAGATCTATAGGTAGGCATTACTTCTGTGATGGAGATTTGTGTAAAGATTCTTGTGGTTGGTGCTGCCAGCTGGGAAAATGGGTCTCTGGGAAATAAAGACTAAGGAGGTCTATCAATTTCTGCTTCTCAAAAGGTCACTGGTAACCATGAGGGAGGAAATTTCAATGGCACTGTGGGAGTGGAAGCCAGATTGCAGTGGGCAGAATAATGAATGGGAGGTGAGAAAGAGAAGATGGACCCCTTTTGGGAGACAGAAGTGAGAGCATCATCCCCCTCAAAGGCTGCCCTTCGTCTCCCAGTTGAAGATTAAGGAAATTTGGAGGCTGAATAAGACTTTCTACAGACCCTCAGAACTTTTCAGGGAGACAAGCTGGGAGCTGGCACGAGCAGCAGAATTCACACCTCGGAGTCTCAAACCAAACCCAGGATGTCTGCTCTCAGAACTCCCAGGTTAGGGACAGTTCACTGTCCCAGATCAGAACTTGTTACTCCCTTCCCAGAAGCTCTCCAGCAACGACTGTGCTCCATTCTCACGTCACACCAGGAGGTATTATGTCTCCAGCCCCTCAATCTACCACCCTACTTACTACACTGCATTGGCCATGCACCCAGGCCTCCTGAAGCCACTGGCTACTTCCCAGTAGCGTATGGTCCCACTCTCATAAGCCTTCTGGTCATCTTGGGCTCTGCCCACTTAGGTGCCACACTTAGAAGAGCCAGTACCCTGCCAAGCCTCTGTAGCCATTTCTTCTTGTGGCTCTCTTCCTGATGGATTGTGGCTTCCCCGGAATCACCAGCATCTAGTCAGGGTTGAGTCTCCTGTAGATACCAGGAAGCTGGCTAGTGGAGCTTCACTAATGAATATAAGTTAAGCATAGAGAAAATGTTTAAATTATGGGGTATCCCACTGACCCTTTGATCCACTCTTCTTCCTCTTCACCTTCCCCTCACCCAGCAGCACTAACACGCTGCATCTGATGTCTGCGCAGGTGTCTCCCAGTCCCTAGGGCAAGGCGACTCGGGCTCCTTCTCCGGGATTATTCTTTGATTCTCTCCTTCAGTCTCTCAAATTCTACACATCGGTTCAGATGGGATTACAGATGATGATGCTACTTAAAACCACTGTGTTGAGAATCAGTGGGACAGTCCCTGTAAAACCATTACACAAATTCTGGTTGTTATCAGGTTCTTGAGGTCCTTGTAAAGTAGAAGATTAGCGTCACAATACCAACAAACTTCATTTGTCATTTCCAGTGACGAAAACTCTCAGGACAATACAGCTTTCCGAAGTTTGTTTCTGTCCAAAGACTACCTCAGCCTGTCCGCGGATGCTCCCGGCATACTTAAGACGACTATAGGCAAACCCCCGCCTCTACTATCTCTAAGTCACGCCCCTTGCGTAAGCGCCGGCCTCCTAGCCCCTCCGGAATTAATTGGCACTTCTCTACACCAATAATAAGTGAAGTTGCTGTCAACGTCCGGTGAGGGGACGGGACTTCCGTGCTGGTTGCTAAGACACTCTTGCTCGCTCCTTGACAACCCTGACGGGGGTGCGCTGGCAGCGGCCTCAGCTCCGGCCCCCGCGGGAGCAGGTGAGGCCTCCGGAGTGCGGCGGGCAGCGCGGCAGGGTGGGCTGGCCCGGAGGGAGGACGGGAGGACGCGCGGGGCGGGCAAGGCCTGGCCCAGCTCCAGGCCCCACCTTGATCCCCAGCCCGCGGTTCCCGGCCCAGGACCTCCCCTTGTCCCACGTAGAGGACCGCGGAGCTAGACAGTGACATTGTGACCTCCTACCCCCACTGTGCGGGCCGCTCCTCCTCACCTAGGCCCTAGCTCCGTGCCCTCACATCCTCCCTGTTCTGACTCCCGCAGCGCCTTGTCCCCGCGCCACCCCGATGCTGTCTGGTGGTCCCAAACCACCAGATCACTTGGTTTGGAGATTGGCGACGTCCTGGGACTCTATTGCCTGTTGGGGGGGGGGGGGGACGGGACTTAGTTTCCTCATCGATAAAGGTGAAATTAGGTTGAACGGTTTCAAAGGCCTTTTGGACTAGGACGTCCTAGGATGTTGTTCTTGGACTCAACTGTCAGCTCCCCGGAGGATGTGTTCTCCCTTCTTCCCTCCTTTTATGTAATGCAGAGAACTTGGCAAACCTAAGTTGGATTCCCACTCATAAGAATCCTGGCAAGTTACCTGAGATCTCCTTTGGCAATTGAAGTACAAAGGGCCCAAGTCCAGCGAAGATTCAGTACCTGCTAGCTTTCTTGTTTTGTGTGTGTATATATGTTCCTGTGTGTACAGGTTCATGTGGAGGCCAGAGGTCAACATTTAGTGTCTTACTCAATCACTCTACACCTTATATAATTTTTTCTTTTTCGTTTCTTTTTTGTTGTTTGTTTGTTTTCGAGACAGTTTCTCTGTGTAACAGCTCTGGCTGTCCTGGAACTTGCTCTGTAGACCAGCCTGGCCTTGAACTCACAGAGATCCACTGGCCTCTGCCTTCTCAGTGCTGGGATTAAAAGTGTGCACCACCACTGCAGAAGCTCACTATTGGGCTAGATGGCCAATGATTTCCAAGGATCCTTCTAGCTGCCTCTCCAGTGCTGGGATCCTAGGCATGGCTGCTACCCCAGATTTTACACAGCTGCTGGGGAGAGAACTGAGGCCTTCAAGCACGTTATAAACTGAGTCATCTCCCCAACCCCCTAATTTCCTTTATTTATTTATTTATTTATTTATTTATTTACCTCTTACTACCTCACACTTTCCCTCCTAGGAGGAACCCAGAGATTTTCTGTGGAACCCACTTAGTATCTACTATCTGCAGATGAACCTCACACCTGCTCTCCGGGCTTGATCTTTTTCCTGTACTTTGTGGTTAGGGATTCTCTGCAGGGGATCCGAAAATTGGAAGAGGTTGATATGAGGATGTGAGTGTGGGACTCATAGCTTCCCTTTTCTAACCACACATGATTCCGTCCTCTGGTACTCCTGACCAGATGTCTCCATTTGCATTTTGCCAGCTGCTAAAATCAAACTGGCCTGCTTCTCTACCTGCCCATCTGTTCTACCTGGCTTCTCCATGCTCTGCCAGGCCCATTCCACTGAGGACTGAGATATTAAATTGCCTTGATTCTGTCTCCATGGGGATATCACATCCTTTCCATTCCTGAGGCTAGCATCCTGGTCCAGGCCTTTAATGCCTGCCATAGGGGTTATTCCTGTAGCTTTCTAACTGCTGTCCCTGTCAACTCAAGTCACCAAACAACTGTGCTCCCAGCCTCCAAGAAGCTAGACACAGTGGTGCATGCTTGCAGTCCTATTGCTGGGGAGGCATAGGCAGCAGTTGCTCAGTGAGTTCAAGGCTAGCTTGTGTTATGTGAAAGCCTATCTCAAAAAGCAAAATCCACACTTTTTATACCTGGGTTTTAGGGCTCTCTACACTTCCTCAATCCATCGATAGCCCCTCTTCTCCCCTTTCAACTGTGTTCTGCCACCAGTCCCAGGAAGCCTTGATTTAAGTCTCTTGAAACCACCGCATTGCCCCTCTGTGTGGAGAGCCTCCTCCCATGCTCCACTTGGCTGGATTCTCACTCACTAGTGCTGGCTCCCATGCTGCCCTTCACTCTGAGCTTGTCTTGCAACACTCCCATCCAACTCCCAGTTCTCTCCCTTCTCTTTCATGTCTTTCTGGCATGGATCGTAACTCCTGGGTCAGTGTTCGTATATGCTGGAGACTCCATGATAGCAGTGCTGCTTCCCTTCCTCCTTAGTTAGAGTGGAGTTGTCAAAAGCATAGTCTTGAAGTCCTGTGTACTTGGTGTGGGATCTGGCCCTCTGTTTCTCAGCTGGATGGGAAGTCACATTGCTTAGCTCAGGCCATGTGTTCATCAGTAACAGGGAATAGTGCCCGTCTGACAGTTTTTTGGGGGGCATGGTGAATTTTTGAATGTATGTTGAATTCCTCTCCTGGTATCTGGGTGAAGACCAGTATTAAGTATACATATGTTTTTAATATTTTTGTGTGTATACGTGTTCATGTTTAGAAGTACCTGTTTATACATGCATATGGTGGTCAGAGATGGATGATGGGTATTTTTCTCAATCATACCACACCTTTTTTTTTTTTTTTTTTAAAGACAGGGTCTCTCTTCAGACCTATAGCTCACTTATTGGCTATACTGGCTGGCCAACAAGCCCAGGATTCTCCTGTCCCTGCCTCTCCAGCACTAGGATTACAGGCATATAGCATAGCACCCAGCCACCTCTGGGTGTGTGCACTTATGCATGAGAAAGCAAGAGGTTGTGAGCATGCGCACGCGCCCCCAGTGTGCATGTGGGGGGCAAAGGGAAAGTTTGGGAGCTCCTTCCACATGGGTTCTAGAGATGGAACTCAGGTTATCAGGCTTGCAAAGCAAGCACTTTTACCCATGGAGCCATCTCTGCAGCTCTGCACCTAGCTTTTTCTGTGGGTGCTGGGGGTCTGAACTCAAGTTCTCATGCTTGACCAAGCTGAGCCATCCTAGCTCCAGGGTTTAGTATTATTGGGTGGCTTTGAATTGGCTTCTCTCCTCCCAAGAGGCAATTGAAATATAATTTAACTACATTTTGGGTATCTTTTGGACTTCTGCTGTGTACCTGACACTGGACTGCTCATTCTGGGACAGTAAAAGAGACTGTAGTCCCTGAGCTCCAGGGTGCCTGGACTCACAACACATGGTGAAGTCATGATCGCTTGTAAGGTGTGACTGCTGATTAGCAATTGTCGGTGATTTCCTAGGAAATAAATCAGTGCTGCATGCAATTCAAGCCTGTGATAATGTCACATTTAATCCTTACGTTTACATCTGTTCTGCTGAGTGGAAGAAGTGGGGCGGGAGCCTGTGTAACCCATGCTGTAAGCAGCTGCTCTCGTGCTGAGCCCATGCCTACCATGGTTATGACTTTTTTTCACTTGTCTCTTAACGAAAATGTTTGGGATCTCATCCAAATTTGGATATGTCCATTGGGGTGTACTGTGTGAATCACTGTCTTCAGCACAAGGTGTTGGACAAAGAAAATGTTGAGTCGCCTAGCTCAATGAGTCAACAGCTGTCTCTTCTAATTCCACCTCTCCCTCCCCTTCCTTCCCTTCTCTTCCTCCTCCCTCTCCATGATCAAAGCATAAAGAAGTTTTCACTGCGCCTCAGTGTAATTGAGAAAAAGTAAAGACATTTTAAAACCAAACTAGACAGCCTGTGTATGTGTAGAAAGGTAACTTTTTTTGTTTTTGATTTTTGTTTTTCGAGACAGAGTTTCTCTGTGAAACAGTTTTAGCTGTCCTGGAACTCACTCTGTAGACCAGGCTGTCCTCAACTCACAGAGATCTGCCTCTGCCTCCTGAGTGCTGGGATTAAAGGAGTGTGCCACCCTCACCCTGGTGAAAGGTAACTTTTAAGGACTTTACTTTCAGCCTGCCTTTTGTTTACAGCAGATGATGGCCTGCCTCCCTGCCTGCCTCCATCCCTCCGTCCCTCCCTCCTCCTTTCTTTTTTTCCATAAAAGAATGTTTAAGACAGGGTCTCATGTCAGCCAGCAGTGATGGTGGCAGTGCAAGAGTGAGTTCCAGAACCGCCAGCACTACACAGAGAAACCCTGTCTTGGAAGAAACAAGGGTGGTGGTGGGGGGGCGAGGGAAGACAGGGTCTCACTTTGTTGCCTTGTTTGGCCTGAAACCCATTATGTAGGTCAGACTGGCTTCTGAGTGCTTGGATTATAGGCATGTGCCACCACACCCATCTAGATGATGGATTTCTGATGCCCTTACAGTAAAATTGGAGAATGGCAGCTCTGGGTTTGCTCTTCACTCTGGGCTGACCTGGGTAACCTGGGCCTTTGGGTGTAAACAGAAGTTTCTGTCCTACAAGCTGTTCCCAAGTAACCCCACAGAGGCTTAATATTAATTATAAATGATAGGCTAATAGCTCAGACCTGTTATTAGTTAACACTTACATTTTCAATGAACCCATATTTTTATCTATGCTTTGCCACGTGGCTTGGTACCTTTTCTCAGTATGGTGTGTCCATCTTGCTTCTCTCAGCATCTATTCACTACCCCTCTGACTCTGCCCTTCTTCTTTCTAGTATTCTCTGTTTGGCTCTCCCCCTAACCTTATCCTGTCCAGCTATTGGGCAGTCAGCTTCTTTTTTTTTTTTTAAGATTTTATTTATTTATTATGTATACAACATTCTGCTTCCATATATATCTGCACACCAGAAGAGGGCACCAGATCTCATTACAGATAGTTGTGAGCCACCATGTGGTTGTGGTTGCTGGGAATTGAACTCAGGACCTCTGGAAGAGCAGTCAGTGCTCT